CTAACAAATACAAATAAAATAGCAATTGAAAATAAAAATGTGTAATTAATAAGGAAAAATGTCTTCTTTCCCACCAACACAGTTATTCTGTTTATTCTGGCCCAGGATTTTTTGTATTGTTGTGGAAGATTGGAAAGTAGTTTTGGATATAATCACTAAGACTTTGAGGAGGTACGAAGCTTTAAAAATATAACTTGGATTTTCCAATTGAGGTGTTTATTGTGTTATGTCTTACTGATGTAATGTTAGGGTTTAGATGTCACAATCTAGTAACTCTTCTATGTTAATTGTATCTGAAACACATAAGAAAATTCAGCAGATTCCACTATCAAATGATGTGATTTGATCCCACATTCCAGATATTAGTCAGGATATTTTACTGCAAGTAGTACAAGATATTAAAACTAGTCCTCTGAAAGTGAGTATTCAGTTGGATGAATCAAATGATGTTGATGATTATACTCAGCTATTAGTATTTGTGTGATACATAAAGGATAAGCAAATTCTGGAAGAATTTTTATTTTGTGAGCAACTGGAGTTGATGGTAAAAGGAACGGATGTTTTCAATCTCATTAAATACTTTTTTTTTTGAAACATCAAATACCAAAGGATGTAATAGGCTCAATTTACACTGATGGTGCCCCTGTGATGTTAGGCAAAAATTCTAGATTTTTTGTATATATGAAGAAAGAAGTACTGCAAGTTACAACAACTCATTGTATGTTGCACCGCCATGTACTTGCATTGAAAACTTTGCCAGAGAGGTTAAAAGAACACCCAGCTATGACAATAAATGTACTAAATTATATCCAAGGATGGGTGCTTAATCATTGTATCTTGCATGCTTTTTAAAGAAGAAATTGTTGCTGTGCTTCATCACACTGACATAAGGTGGCTCTCCAAGGGATGTATGCTAAGCAGGGGTTTTGAAATACATGAGGAAATTATTCAGTTTCTTATTAACCAAAATTGTAATTTAATTAAAGACTTTGAAAGAAGAGGTGCAATACTTCGACTGGCATACTTAGCAGATATATTCATTCACCTGAATGAATTAAATATATCAATGTAAGGATATGTTAAGAACATAATAACAGTTACTGAAAAATTATCTGCTTTTATTGAAAAACTACAAATTTAGATATGTTGAGTTGAAAATGGTAATTCTGCAGTTTCCCTTGCTTGATGAAATCATTCTGGAAGATGAGAAAATCACAATTTTACCTGAACTGATAATACATTTGCAACAATTGAGTGAATCTTTTCATGGATATTTTTCCACAGGAGATATTGGCAAAGAGCAGATATGGATACTGGATCCATTTCTTTTTTACCTTTACACAATGGTAATGTAATAAATGACTGTGTTATTGAAATATGGGCCAATGCATGTATTCAAAATGAATTTGAAAAAATGAGAACAATTTTGGCATGATCAGATAGAACCATTTCCACAACTAGCAAAAGCAGCATTGCAGACACTTCTATCATTTTCTACCACCTATCTGTGTGAAATCGCTTAAATGCAAGTGATGACATATGCGTGGCTCTTTTGAAAAAGGAATCCCACAAAACAATCTTGAAATAAACAAACAAACAAACAAACAAAAATAAATTAGACACTAAAATTGGGACATTGTTTTAATTCAATACATACACGTGTATCTGCTTTTCAGTAAATAAATGGTTTTGCAATAAATGTAACTTTCTAACAAATAAATTGGAACACATTTTCAATGGGGTGCAAAAATGTATTTTGATATTCAATGGTGTGCCAACAACAAAAAAGATTAAGAAACTCTGTTCTACTAGGAGCTGCCAGTCTGTACATGCCCACAATTCTTGGATTTCTTCATCTGTTCTTTTTGTCATACAAAGATTTTTTGTGAAGCTGTTCCCTTTCTTACGATGATGTAAAGAAAGAAAAAAAAAAACACCAGACCAACAACCTCCTCTGTCCCTTGATAAAAATAGCCTGACCTGGCACTGCATGGAAACAAGGAACTTTTTAAACCTCTGCTGATCTGGAGGCTCCTGAACTTTACTGGCATTATGGCATGTGTGGAAGGGGAGTTTAACCATTAATTCCTCTGTTATAGCTATGACAAAAATAACTGCCAGTCGATTTGCTTTTGAGGAAGATCACTTCAGTGCTAATATGAATGTGAGTGCAGGGAAAATTGAAGGGGGAAATCTATATGTGTGATCAGATAGCCACTTCTTTATCAAATACCCTATTGCTTCCTTCCAGCTCACTGTACAGTTAGCCTTACCGAGGAAAGGTCAGTGTTACTTCCACAAAGGCAAGTCATTCTTTACCAACATTTTATAACTGTTTGAAAGGATGGTAAATGACTGCTGTTTCAATTATCAGACTTTATATTCTGTACAAAGAATAAAACCACTCTGAAATGACTATGTTCGGATCTCTTGTACGAGCACCACCTGGCTTACTGTGTTTTATTGCTGCTGGCTATAAGAACACACTAAAAATTCCTCCCTTCTCACCCTCTCATTCCTAGATGCTACAGAAAACATGCAACCTGGCTCCATGGGGACACCAAACTGTGGTGGAAGCCTAGTGCCTGTTTATTAGATTCTTCCTGAATGAGGGGGGACATTTAAAAAAGTACTCATGCCTAGGGTCACTCTACAAAGACTTTTGTTGTTGTTTAGTTGTTAAGTCATGTCCGACTTCCCGTGACCCCATGGACCAGAGCACGCTGGGCCCTCCTGTCTTACATTGTCTCCTGGAGTTGGGTCAAATTCATGTTGATAGCTTCGGTGACACTGCCCAACCATCTCATCCTCTGTCGTCCCCTTCTCCTCTTGCCTTCACACTTTCCCAACATCAGGGTCTTTTCCAGACAGTCTTCTCTTCTCATGAGATGGTCACATTATTGGAGCCTCAGCTTCAGGATCTGTCCTTTTAGTGAGCACTCAGGGTCTATTTGCTTCAAAATGGATAGGTTTGTTCTCTTTGCAGTCCAGGGGACCCTCAAGAGTCTCCTCCAGCACCACAATTCAAAAGCATCATCCAGTCCTGCCTTTCGCATGATGTATTCTGCATATAAATAAGCAGGGGGACAATATAGTCTTGTTGTACTCCTTTCCCAATTTTGAACCAATCAGTTGTTCCATATCCAGTTCTAACTGTTGCTTCCTGTCCCACATATAGGTTTCTCAGGAGACAGATAAGGTGGTGAGGCACTGCCATTTCTTTAAGGACTTGCCATAGTTTGTTGTGGTCCACACAGTCAAAGGCTTTTGCATAGTCAATGAAGCAGAAGTAGATGTTTTTCTGGAACTCTCTGGCTTTCTCTATAATCCAGCGCATGTTAGCAATTTGGTCCCTAGTTCCTCTGCCCCTTCGGAATCCAGCTTGTACCTCTGGGAGTTCTCGGTCAACATACTGTTGAAGCCTACCTTGGAGGATTTTGAGCATAACCTTCAGTGCAATTGTACGGTAGTTGGAGCATTCTTTGGCACTGCCCTTCTTTGGGATTGGGAT